TTTTAATGTGATTATAGTTAGTTCAATGTGTTTTTTTTTTTTAATGTGATTGTATTGTAATTAGTTTAATGGTTCTTTTTTTTTCATTTATTTTTTTTACTATGGGAAAAATGTGATGTGATTGTAGTTTGTTCAATGGTTCTTTTTTTTTAATGTGATTGTTTTGTAGTTAGTTCAATGGTTCTTTTTTTTTCATTTATTTTTTTTATTATGAGAAAAATGTGATGTGATTGTAGTTTGTTCAATGATTTTTTTTAACGTGATTTAATCGTTTTATTTACTGCTTTAATGGTTCTTCTTTATAATTATTTTTTTATTATGAAAAAAATATGATTGTAGTTAGATAGCATAAAAATATTTGTGATTTATATGATTGAAGTTATCTCATTTTTTTTTATTTGTATTTGGTCTAGCAAAAAAAAAATTATAATTTGATTTTTTAATATGATTGAAGTTAGATAAATATAAACACTCACAAAGAGAAAATTGTGATTGTAGTTAGTTCAACGGTTATTTTTTTTAAATGTAAATTGGTCAGAAGAATGTCTATACATTTCAGAAGGTTAAAAAAAAAAATGTAAGTATAACATTTTTACTTTATAACATTTCATAAATACATAATATATGTATTGTTCATTAATTATAATACTAAGCCTTTGTTTGACAATGACTTTTTTAGTTGGCTTTTTGGCCTTTTTGACTTTTTAGCCTGAGACTTTTTTGTTTGTTTGGTATTCTTGATTGGATTTTTGGCTTTTTTGCTTTGGAATAGTGGATTTTTTTTTTTTTTTTGTCTTTTTGTGATTTTTGGCTTTCTGTGATTTTTTGAATTTTTTTTTTGTCTTTTTGTGATTATTTAACCAAATATGATAACCAAACAGTACCTAACTATCATGTTGACAATGCAGGAATGGTGATGGAATGCTCACAACAATTTAGATTTTAGTTATTTTTTTGTTTTGCTTATTCAGTGAATTTCGAACAAATGTAATAAATTCTTATTTTTATTACTTTAATTATGCAATGTCAACAGTTTCTTTTAAAATTACATATATTTTATGCTAACAATTTATAAATATGTTTGACATAATATAAATAGTTTTTTTTTAACACACAAACATACATTCACCATAAGTATGTCTCAAAACATGATACAAGCCATGGCATAAATAAGACACCAAGCCAAGCCAAGTCTTCATGAACAAAGAGAGTTTTGACATATACAAAAAGGGTCCAAGGAAGCTCCATGATCACCTCCTCAAGCCTTCTTACCTGAAATGGTGAAACAATGGGTAAGCTAATGATCCCGCGCTCAAGCCTTATTACTTGAAATGGTGAAACACCGAGTAAGCTAATAAGATCAGTGAGTAGTCTAATTCCTGGAGCGGCTTCACATGCCGTAAAGAAGCATTTAGTAAAAGCACAATTGTTTAACAATAGTATAAAATCCATTTCCTAGTGTTGATAGCAAGAAACAAATTTCGGAATTTAAAACAAGAAACATGATTTCCACTAAGATGAACATATAGAGAACTTTTGAAAATATAGTAAGTGCTGAGAGAGAGAGAGACAAAACTCAAACCATATAAAAAGGTAGTCATAGTATGCAAGTAATTAGCAACTTGAGGTCTCATTTTAAGATTTCTCAAAAATGATATAACCACCTAGGGTTCTATTTTAGGATTTTATTACATTATTTCTATATTTTCAAGTTATGAAAACCAAAGTAGACTAATTAGAATGCAAGAATTTAACAAAGAAATTAGATTTCTTACCTTGGGTTTATATTTCAAATTTCCTCTTGAATTTCTTCTAAATTTATTCTTGAGTTTTCCCACAAATCTCTCTCTCTCTCTCTCTATATATATATATATATAATTCAGTGGGCAAGACAAGATGAAAAACTTGAACACTAATTCTTTTATTTCTAGCAAGAGTGAACATGTGATGTAACAGATGGGTAAGGTGTCAAAGTATTGATGCATTGCACGATACAAGGACTAAGTGTAGCATGCATGAGGTGTCTTGCCCATAAGGGGCCACATGCCAAGATTATTACACTAATTTCATGAACAAACTTAATTAATCACAAATCCACAAAATAATCATGTTTTAGCACATGTTACACCTTGTTTGGCAAATGCATGTTCAACACACGCACACACACATATGAAATTGGGCCTAACCATAACGACAACTTAAGCATGTGGGCCTCACAAACATTTTTTTTATGGATTATTACAAATACATCTTAATAGGGGTGACCATTGGTTCAATGGTAAAACTTTGGCCTAATAACCTTGAGGTTATGGGTTCAAGTCATAGGGTAACCATTTTGTGCACTATGTCAAAGGTTAGGTGTGTACCCAATCTTTTCCTTCCCAAACATACAATGTACTAATTGGGCGTTGCCTTTTTTATTACAAATACATCTTAATGACAACCAAATCATTAAATACCAATTTTCAATTTAGTAATATTTTAGGAACCTTCAAGTTATATCAAATCATAGAAAACCAATTTAATTCGAGAGCCAATTTAAGCAAAAATGCAACCATATAAGCACACAAACTTGTTCACTGTCAAACTTATTATTTGATCAACTTAGAAAAAATAAAAATCATGTGATTCTATATGAAAAATTGTAAATGCTCTACTGGCGTGGAAAAATGATTAGAGAGCTGAACAACCACATTATCTAGTGTTGTCATCACTGCTGTCATCAGATCTTCACCACCATCAATTTTCATCCTCATTGTCATCATTAATGTTACCATTGTTGTGTCATTGCCATCATCATTATTGTCATCATTCTTATCTTCTTAATCTTATTTTTCTTCCTCTATTTCTTGCTGAAACAAAAAAAGAAAAATGTGTGTTTGCATGCAATTTGTAGCAAAGGTTTAGGAAACTAGAAAAAAGACAGAACTTGCCTCTTGTTATCTTGCTGAAACAAACACCAAAAAATAAAAATTGATTGCATACAAGCAACTTATAGAAAAGGTTTAGGAAACTACAAAATCAGATAGAACTTACTATTTGTTATTGTTCCTCCTTCTACTCCTCATCTTCTTCTTCTTCTTCTTCTTCTTCTTCTTCTTCTTCTTGCTGCTATGCAAAAAGAGGAATGCTCGAAGATAAGGTTTTGATTGATAAACAATATGTGAAAATGTAAGTAATAGAAGAAATATAGACATACATGAAAATAAGAAATCAGCTACCATGGTCTACAACTTTACTATTTTATAAAAAGTGAAACAAAAATTTACAAATATTAATAGTTGAGAAAAATAAATTGAAAGAACATATTTTTGCTCGAGACAAAACCACGTTTGTTCAAATGAACTAGCCCGACATTCAAATGTGGAAGTGCTACTGGAGAACTCCAATGTTAACAAAGCACCGTTCCAGCAAAACAAAGCTACCATGCAGTCAGTGAAACTGTGCGCATTTGAAAGGTCAAACCCTGCTTCAAAGAAGCAACATACTGATGCTCAGTTTTTTTCAAATGTATACTCTACTTAGCTAAACAAACACAAACTCAATCTTTAGAATGAAATTGTCAACATAAAAATGATAAGGGAGTAAATTTTTTCTTACATACTATTTATTCACTTTTAGAATTAAGATTTAATCGCAAATTTCGTTCATTCAAACACGGGTAAGGGAATTATGTGATCCTCTTAATTTAAAGAATTATGTTTCTCTACAATTTTGATCCTTTAGTATCTCTTGTATTGTAGATGCATAATTTTATGCAAAGACAACCATCATAGAAAGCAAAAAAATAAAATAAAATAAAAGAAAAGAAAACTAATTGCTGCATCCACCTGTGGAGTACTTTTGCCGGTCAAGATTCTATAGTTTAATATTCTAATACACAGAAGTGCTATAGTTAAATAATGGATAAATTACACTTACACCTCCTAAGGTTTGGATTTAATACATATCACTTATGACGTTTAGGAAATTACACTAACCCCCTAGTCATTGTAATTGTTTAGACGGAATGAACATATTGAACTCATGCACTCTCTCTTTTCCTACTTTGTTTTACTTCCTCTGTTTTTTTTTTTTTCCTTTGCTTTGCTTTACTTTTTTTTTTTAATGTAATTTCTTCTATTTTTTTACTAGGAGTTGTTACCTTTTATATAAGCAGGGGGTTTGTGAAATGCTATGAAGCACGGGTGCGGGTATAGATAAGGGTATAAGTATGGTGTGGGTACGCCGATACGACAAATTCTTTAAAAAATAGGGTATGGGTACGGATACGGTTGCGGTACGTCAAATTTTTTTTTTTTTTTTAATTTATAGCTAAACATCTAACATACAAATCAAAATTTCAATATCAAAACTAAAAAGAGAATAATTTGTCTAAAAAGTTATATAATTCTTTATTTTTCTTTTTTGATTGTCTAAAATAGGATGTAAAAGAGAGCAAAACCATGAGTCATGGGTAAAGGGAGTTAGAAATAAATTACTCGATATTTTCAAATTTGAAAGAAGAATAACAAAGGATAAAAAAAATTCACAGCAGCTACCAACCAAAAAAAAAAAAAAAATCACCTCGCCATACCAGTTTTGTACCCACGACGTATCCCAATTTATTTGCTGTACTCGGCATATATTCAGCGTACCCGGTACACGTACCGCCATACCGGTACGTGTACCTACACCCGGTAAGTACTCGGTACTCACACGGGCATCATTTGGAGTACCCGTACTTCATAAGTGAAATGAGACTATTAACCACAAAAGTAAAAATGTAATTTCCAGAATGTCAGGGTGGGATGTAATTGGACCAAACTTTAGGGGGTGTTAGTGTAATTTACCCTTAAATAATTAAGAGAGAACCCTAGAGGGTGAGCCCACACTTGGAAAGACTTCACAAGAGTAAAAGGAACTTTTGTATTTGAAAATCTTGTAACTACGGGGAAGTAAATTGTAAATGCAAAATATTTTTTGACAAACCTACTTTAGATGAACCTTTTAATCGTATAAACTATTGGCAAAATGCACTATTTCCAGCTGCCACATTTTCATTTGTGAAAATGTAAAACATTTTTGGTTCTCTCCTGCCAAAAGCTTGCGAGTGCCAATTATCTAATTCAGCAAAATATGGTTTGAACTTTTCCTGATTAAGATTACCTAAAAACATACTTAATGGAAGAGAAAAGAAGGGTTGGTGGTCATCATGTGTAGCAAGTATTTATTAACAGTAGGAACAACATACCTTCTCAAAAAGGTGTTGTATGGTCTTATTGAGATCATCTATCCAGATGCACTCTACTCGTTTTCCTTTTGAATCCCACCAATTTTGTTCTTCCACTTTCACACACTGTAGGTTTGGGGCATGCACGAACCCAGGAGAGAAAGTCTGCATTTTAGGACAGTTAAGGACAGCCATGTGATCTAAAAATGGCATTTCCCAGTCGTGAATAACATGGCAAAATCTCCCAAGTGAAGATAGACCTCTGAGTTCCAAATGCTTCAGTTGAGGGAACAGAGTACTGTAAATCCTACCACCTCCTGAATGTTCGCCATCCTCATTTGCAACCACTTCTTCCATCATTGAGCAATCATCTATTATTAGTTCTTGGAGATGCACGAGACCTCTAGCAATGGAAGGAGAGAACAGATTTCTCAATTTGTCACAACATCTAACAATTAGCATTCGTATGTTTTCAAGGGGAAATCCGTGCTGGCCTCCAAATCCGAATACGTCTTCTACCAAATCACAGTTATATATTTCCACTTTTTCTAGATTGGGTGACATTTCTAATAAATGAGCTGGAACAACATTTTTTACCAATCTGTGACAGTCTTCCACCATGAGGAATCTTAATTTACATAATGACCTGGTCGAAAGTTCACTGCACCATAAGTCACTTGCATTTAGCAATCCACCAAGTTCCAATTCCTCCAAGCTAGGAAATGCAACCTGAAAAGTGAGAGATAGTTAAAAGGACAATCTAGTCTTATTAGCATTCAACTTCTATTAACTTGAAGACAAGTTGAGTAGGGTCATAAGGTTGTCATTTTAATACAATTTGCAGGGCTTGGATTTTGTGGATCCTGAGCAATCAGTTGCAACAATTTCTAGGTTCTCCAGGAAGGCCCAAAACTATATTTTTACACCAGAACAGTCCACAGAGATAATAATTAATTGTTGTCTCCACAAACATAAATTACATTTCAGCACGGCCCCCATTTGTCAAACATCAATGAATTCCACCCCTCTTTGTAGATTTAACATATTGGGTTAGGCAATGATTTACTGCTGCGTCCGCTTCACATTATTATTTCTTATGATGTCATCACACGAGAACTAGCACTAGAAAGTTGCTTTGTTATGCATACTTTTTTGGACAGCAGGATGGCAGCAATAGAAAAGGCAGTGACAATATGATATGCATTGAGCTTCTATCTGAAAATCCCATAATTTACTTTAAAATCATTTTTTCATGCCAAGTGTTCAAATGATTAAGTACATCTATATATTGGGAGTTTTGAAACATTTTCACACTGTTCTAAATTGTAATGCTATGAACATATTTTTGTAAATATACTTAGGGTAAATTACAGTCACCTCCCCAGAGGTTTATGATGATTACATTTGCCTAAAAATAAAAGGCCCAATTAGTACACATTAATGTGTGTTTGGGAGAGGAAAGATTGAGTACATACCTAATTTTTAGCATAGTGCATAAAGTAGTTGCCTTGTGACTTTTAACCAATGGTCACCCCTACTTTTTTTGAAATTACACTGACCTCCCTTGTGACTAACGGTGTTAATGGGACAGTTAGTCACAAGGGAGGTTACTGTAATTTCAGAAGGAGGGGAGACAGGTGTAATTGTTAGAAATCTCAAGACCACAAATGTTACATGTATATGGTATACATAAAATGGTGTGTATTCTAGAATAACCTATTGTTATGACAAAAGTGATAATGAAACAAATTAAAAAAATTAATTCCGGACATTTAAGAGAAGTTATACAATTTGGTTGTCTTAAAAAAATAAGTTAAAATTGACGAGTCTCACTATCTAAATTAATAAAAATCAAATTAGGACACTACATGTATTTATTTGAGTAGTATTAAATAGTTTATTTATAAATACTCACATGGTTAGACTATAAATATATATAGGATAATGTTTGAGTACACACCCTCATATATTTATTTGAGTAGTATTAAATAATTTATTTATAAATACCCACATGGATTTAATTACCACATGTATTTATTTTAGTATTAAATAATTTATTTCTAAACACTCATATGGTTTGACTACAAATATATATAGGGCAATGCTATGGTACACACCCTTCATATACAAGTTATGATATTTGTGGGTTTGATCACCACAAAAGTAATGATTACACAAATTAAAAAATTAATTAAATATAAAAGAAGTTATTTGGTAGTTTTTAATCAATACTTGACGCCATACAATTTAGTTGTCTTAAAAAAACTAAGATAAAATTGATGAGTCTCACTATTTAAATTAATAAAAATCAAATTAAGACACCACATGTATTTATTTGAGTAGTATTAATATATAATTTATTGCATTACATACATACAAGTTCTTATATTTCTCATTTGGCTTCAATAATTCATACTAATTTGTTTACCAAATGATTAATTGATTTCTTTTATTAACAGATAATCACTTCAAATATTATACAAACCAAATTGAAATCCCCCTATGTGCTAATCTAACAACAAATCACTGACTTTTGCCGAAAAAAAGAAAAAAGAACCGTTAAAGTAAACCTCGGGGGAGGTTAGTGCAATTTAAGAAAAAGTAGGGAAGACCGGTGTAATTGTCAGAAACCTTAGGGGAGATGACTGTAATTTACCCATATAATTAAGATTTTCTTTCACAAGATTTAAACTTTTTAAATTCTAAAGAGATTCTACTAAATAGCTTTTAACATTTCATCTTTAAAATGCCCTTTTTATGATGCTATCTTGTGTTATAGAGTTATCCCACATCATTTCTCTAAACCGCCCAAGCTTTGTTTATAAAACTCTTCCAAGGATCTACCCAATGTCAATTGGTTTTGGGTTAAATGCCTCCAAAACTCTAACATAGTATAAAAGTTGGGTCTTGGGTGGTCTATCAGGCTAAGTCTATGCCCCGGGTCTATTCCTTTCATCTCATTCATCTCTTTAACATCTCTAGATGCGACTAAGGCGCATGTGCAGGGGAGTGTCATAGCATTTTGTTCCATATTGTTTCTCTAAGCCACCCAAGCTGGGTTTATATAATTTAAAACCCCTCAATTTAATGCCAATTGAATTAGGTTGGATGCCTGCAAGTTTCTAACATGGTATCAGAGTTGAGTCTTGGGTGGCATTGTGGGCCAAGTATTGGCCACAGGTCTTTTTCATCTACATATCACCTCCACGTGCAACGACTGGGCCACATGTGCAAGGGACTATCAGAAACTTGTATCACATCACCTCTCTAAGCCATTTAACCTTAGTTCATTTACTGTCTATTGGGATGGATGTGGACTTCAAATCAAGGGAATTGATGTTAAATTTTGTAAAATTATTAAACAGTTAGCTAGGGAATTAATTAGTAGGATCCTTGCAACTAGAAGGAGAATCTTACCATGATTTCAAATATTTACTCTAATATAGTTATTTCAAATCCATCATGATAAGCTATTTAATTCAATTTTGAATTCAGAGATTTAACACTAAATTTGAGCCATTCTCTTTGAATGATTAATGTCAAATCCACACATTTCAAATCCTTAAATACAAAACAGAACGTTAGCCTATAGGTCTCTCCACTCATAGCTAGTGATTGATCCAGGAGGAACAAAGTATAAGGCCAAAAATGTTGTATGTGTAAAAAACAAGGGTATTGTACAACAAATTGTTGGATAATTTGATACACATTGTTGGGCCCATTTCCTAAGAGGTTAAGTTTTTGGGACAATTGGTGACTTAATCCACACAACACACACACACACATATGTATATTAGAGAAGAGGAAGACCAGAGAGAAATGAGAGGTTGAGAGCAAATATATATATGTGTGTATAGGGATCAAATAAACATTTGAGGGAGGCCAACTTGAAAGGCTTTTGATGATTAAAAGAGAAAAAGTAAGGGGCATATATAAGATTTTAGAAGGGGTAAATTGAAAGACACTAAAAACTGCTTGTAAAACAATGATTTTCAAAAATTTGAAAGGGGGCACTGGCCGTCCTGGGCCTGAGGTGCCTATAGCCATTTGGTTTTGGGTCTCCAAAATTCTAACAGCATAAGTCAGATACTAAAATACAAACTTTGTATAGCAAGTTAGCATCTATAAGGCCAGTTTTGTTATACATAATTTCAATTGAAAAGCTCAGCCCACACTTCTCTTTAAAAGCCAGGTATTAAAAAAAAAGGAAACTAGAGCCTTATAACCAGCACAGAAGGGGCAACTTTAGGCGATGTGGAACACATTCCACTTGCTATTTATTCCCAGGCTAATGTTGACAAATGAAAACTATAGTATTGTACTAGTGGGATGTCAAATAAGACCAACCAAAAGCTTGGGACAAGTAACCACGAGATAGATGCATCAAAGATGTAGATATTTGTTCCCCTAAGAACTTTATGATTATTTTATTGTTTTTGAAAAATATATAGGCCTCGTTTGGGAAGTGGCTATTTTAGAGGCTTTTTAGCTTTTTGGCTATTATAGTAGGCTATTTTAGTTTTTGTGTTTGGAAAGATGAGATGGATTTTTATTTGAGTTGTTGTATTGAAAAGTGTGTTGAAATGATGTTTGAAGTTAAAATGACAAATTTGTCCCTAAAATTATAATTTTTTAAATTGATGTGAAGGGGCAAAAATGTAATTTCCCAAGTGATGTAGAAATTTGACACTTTGACAGTGTAGGCTGGCCCTACACTGTCACGGCAGCTGAGGCTATTTTTTTATTTTTTTAATAAAAAGGGTTGCTACAGTAGGCTTTTTGGCTTATTTCCATTTTGAGGCTATAATAGCCCCAACCTATGCTTCCCAAACAGTGCCTATATATGTTTGAAGCCAAACAAATTATATATGTTCGAAAATTTAATTTCGAACATATGAAGTTTGTTTGGATACACAGTGCCAAACAAATTAAATATATTCGGATACTTAGTTCCGAACAATAGAAAATTGGTTACAATATTTTCATTTGGATACTCAGTGCCGGATAAATTGCATGTCTGGATACTTAATTCCGAACCAACGAAATTTTTTCAGATACTCAGTTCCGAACAATAAAAAAATAGTTGTAGCATTTTTGTTTAGATACTCAGTGCCAAACAAATTATATATGTTTGGATACTTAATTCCGAACCTATGAAGTTTCTTCAGATGCTCAATGGCGAACAAATGAAATTTGTCCGGCTGCTCATTGCCGAATTTATGAATTTTGTTTGAAAATAAGTTTATGAATAAACATAATTTGTTCGGTTTTGAATTTTCCGAATCAATTTTGTAAATCAAACAACGAAAATAAATAAACATCAAATGAAAATTTATTTTATCTATAGAAAATTGTTTGGAAATATCTTTTTTTATTATCCATTATTGATTTTAATATGAAATAGAATATAAGAATGATGGATTTAAGCAAATAGGGTTAGGTATGAAGATACAAAGTGATCTGATCAAAAAAAAAAAAAAAAGAGATAAAAGAAATATTAGGACCAATGATGAATGAGATGTTCAAAATATTTTGATTTATACTTTTTTCAATGTCAAATATTTTTAGTCATTTTAAATAAGGATTTAATGGCAATAAATTTTTTTCATTAAATTGGTGTGCTTAACCAAACATTTAGAGGGTAAGTAGAGCCACGCTTAACTTACGCATCACAAAACTAACTCCTTACATCCTCAAAATTTTAATTTTTTAATACAATTTTTAT